AATTCAGCACCACCAAACCAGCTGTACAAATACTAAAGGAAATTCTCTAGGCGAAAACGAAAAGCCCACAACTAGAAACAAGAAAATTATGAATGGGAAAGCTTACCAGTAAAGGCAAACATACAGTAAAGATAGGAAATCATCCACACACAAATATGATATCAAAACCAGCAAGCACAAGAAGAGTACAAATGCAGGATATTGGAAATGCATTTGAAATTAAGAGATCGTGAACTTAAAACAATCTTGTATATGTATAGACTGCTATATCAAAACATCATGGTAACCTCAAACCAAAAATCTACAACAGATATACACACAAAAAAGAAAAAGGAATCCAAACCCAACATTAAAGATAGTCATCAGATCACAAGAGAAGAGAACAAAAGTGGAAGGGAATAAAAAGACCTACAAAAACAAATGCAAAACAATTAACAAAATGGCAATAAGAACATACATATCAGTAATTACCTTAAATATAAATGGATTAATGCTCCAACCAAAACACATTGACTAGCTGAATGGATACAGAAACGAGACCTGTATATATGCTGTCTATAGGACACCCACTTCAGATCTAGGGACACATACAGAATGAAAGTGAGGGGAGGGAAAAAGGTATTCCATGCAAATGGAAATCAAAAGAAAGCTGGAGTAGCAATACTAATATCAGACAAAACAGACTTTGAAATAAAGACTATTACAAGAGACAAGGACACTACGTAATGATCAAGAGATCAATCCAAGAAGAAGATATAACAATTGTAAATATACATACACCAAAAATAGGAGCACCTCAATATATAAGGCAAACACTAACACCCATAAAAGGAGAAATTGGCAGTAACACAATAATAGTGGGGGACTTTAACACCCCACTTTCATCAATGGACAGATCATCCAGGCAGAAAATCAGTAAGGAAATCCAGGCTTTAAATGACACATTAGACCAGATGGACTTAATTTATATTTATGCATTCCATCTGAAAGCAGCAGAATATACATTCTTCTGAAGTGCACATGGAATATTCTCCAGGATAGGTCACATGCTGGTCCATAAAGCAACCCTTGGTAAATTTAAGAAAATTGAACTCATATTAAGCATCTTTTCCAACCACAATGCTATGAGATTAGGAGTCAGCAGCAAGAAAAAAACTGTAAAAATTTGTAAAACTGTAAAAATTAGCAGGAATCCACCTGCCAATGCTGGGGACACAGGTTCGATCCCTGGCCCGGGAAGATCCCACATGCCACAGAGCAGCTAAGACTGTGCACCACAACTACTGAGCCTGTGCTCTAGAGCCCGTGAGCCACAACTACTGAGCCCGCATGCCACAACTACTGAAGCCCACGTGCCTAGAGCCCATGTTCTGCAACAAGAGAAGCCACCACAATGAGAAGCCCGTGCACCACAACAAACAGTATCCCCTGCTCACCACAACTAGAGAAAGCCCGCGCACAGCAACAAAGACCCAACACAGCCAAAAATAAATAAAATTAATTGAAAAGAAAGATCAGAACAGAAACAGAGACAAAGAAAACAATAGAAAAGATCAATGAAACTAAAAGCTGGTTCTTTGAAAAGATAAACAAAATTGATACACCTTTAGCCAGACTCATCAAGAAAAAGGAGAGGGCTCAAATCAATAAAATAAGAAGTGAAAAAGGAGCAGTTACCACAGACACCACAAAAATACAAAGGATCATAAGAGACTACTGCAAGCAACTATATGCCACTAAAATGCCTAGAAGATTTGGACGAATTCTTAGAAAGGTACAATCTCCCAAAACTGAACCAGGAAGAAACAGAAAATATGAAGAGACCAATCACAAGCACTGAAATTGAAACTGATTTAAAAATTCCCAACAAACAAAAGTCCAGGACCAGAAGGCTTCACAGGCAAATCCTATCAAACATTTAGAGAAGAGTTAACACCTATCCTTCTGAAACTATTGCCAAAAATTGCAGAGGAAGGAACACTTCCAAACTCATTCAGTGAGGCCACCATCACCCTGATACTAAAACCAGACTAAGATACCACAAAAAAAGAAAATGACAGGCCAATATCACTGATGACCATAGGTGCAAAAAATCCTCAGCAGAATACTAGCAAGCTGAATCCAACAATACATGAAAAAGATCATACACCATGATCAAATGGGATTTATCCCAGGGATGCAAGGATTTTTCAATATCTGCAAATCTGAAAACCACATCAAGAAATTGAAGAATAAAAACCATATGATCGGAGTTCCCTGGTGGCGCAGTGGTTAAGAATCTGCCTGCCAATGCAGGGGACAGGGGTTCAAGCCCTGGTCCGGGAAGATTCCACATGCCACAGAGCACCTAAGCCCATGCACTGCAACTACTGAGCCTGAGCTCTAGAGCCCACAAGCCACAACTACTGAGCCCATGTGCCACAACTACTGAGCCCATGTGCCACAACTACTGAAGCCCACACGCCTAGAGCCCGCGCTCTGCAACAAGAGAAGACACCGCAATGAGAAGCCTGCGCACTGCAACGAAGAGTAGCCCCCACTCGCCACAACTAGAGAAAAGCCCACGTGCAACAGTGAAGACCCAACACAGCCAAAAGTAATTAATTAATTAATTAATTAAAACAAGAAACATGATCATCTCAGTTGATGCAGAAAAACCTTTTAATAAAATTCAACACCGTTTATGATAAAAACTCTCCAGAAAGTGGACATAGAGAAAATATACCACAACATAGTAAAGGCCATATATGACAAACCCACAGCTAACATCATACTCAATAGTGAAAAGCTGAAAGCATTTCCTCAAAGATCAGGAGTAAGACAAGGATGTCCACTCTCGACACTTTTATTCAACATAGTTTTGGAAGTCCTAGCCACTGCAATCAGAGAAGAAGAATAAAGAAAAGGAATCCAAGTTGGAAAAGAAGTAAAACTGTCACTGTTTGCAGATGACATGATACTATACATAGAAAATCCTAAAGATGCTACCAGAAAACTACTAGAGCTCATCAATGAATTCACTAAAGTTGCAGGATATAAAGTTAATACACAGAAATCTGTTGCATTTCTATACACTAAAAACAAAAGATCATAAAGAGAAATTAAGGAAATAATCCCATTTACCATCAAATCAAAAAGAATAAAATACCTAGCAATAAACCTACCTAAGGAGGCAAAACACAAACAGATGGAAAGGTATATATGCCATGTTCTTGGATTGGAAGAATCAATGTTGTCAAAATGACTGCACTACCCAAGGCAACCTACTGATTCGGTGCAATTCCTATCAAATTACCAATGGCATTTTTGCAGATTTAGAACAAAAAATCTTAAAATTTGTACGGAAACCCAAAAGACCCTGAATAGCCAAAGCAACCTTGAGAAAGAAAAGTAGAGGTGGAGGAATCAGGTTACCTGACTTCAGACTATACTACAAAGCTACAGTAATCAAGACAGTATGGTACTGACACAAAGACAGAAAAATAGATCAATGGAACAGGATAGAAAACACAGTCTCTTCAATAAGAGGTGCTGGGGAAACTGGACAGCTACATGTAAAATAATGAAATTAGAACATTCTCTAACACCATGCATGAAGATAAACTCAAAATGGATTAAAGACCTAGATGTAAGATGGGGTACTATAAAACTCTTAAAGGAAAACATAAGCAGAACACTCTTTGACATAAATTGCAGCAAAATCTTTTTGCATCCACCTCCTAGAGTAATGAAAATAAAAACAAAAAGAAACAAATGGGACCTAGTTAAACTTAAAAGCTTTTGCACAGCAAAGGAAACCATAAACAAAACGAAAAGACAACCCCCAGAAACGGAGAAAATATTTGCAAATGATGTGACCAGCAAGGGATTAATCTGCAAAATATAGAAACAGCTCATGCAGCTCAATATCAAAACAAACAAACAACCAATCAAAAAATGGACAGATCTAAATAGACATTTCTCCAAAGAAGACATACAGATGGCCAAGAGGCACATGAAAAGGTGCTAAACATTGCTAATTATTAGAGAAATACAAATCAAAACTACAATGAGGTATCACCTCACATCAGTTAGAATGGCCATCATCAAAAAGTCTACAAACAATAAGTGCTGGAGAGGGTGTGGAGAAAAGGGAACCCTCCTACACTATTGGTGGGAATGTAAATTGGTACAGCCACTATGGAGAACGCTGTGGAGGTTCCTCAAAAAACTAAGAATAGAGCTACCATGTGATCCTGCAATCCCACTCCTGAGCATATATCTGGAGAAAACCATACTTAGAAAAGATACATGCAACCCAATGTTCATTGCAGCACTATTTACAGTAGCCAAGACATGGAAGCAACCTAAACATCCATCAACAGATGAATGGATAAAGAAAATGTGGTACAGTGGTATACAGTGGTACAGTGGTATACAGTGGACTCTTACTCAGCCATAAAAAAAGAATGAAATAATGCCATTTGCAACAATATGGATAGACCTAGAGATTCTCATTCTAAGTGAAGTCAGAGAAAGACAAATATCATATGATATTACTTACATGTGGTATCTTAAAAAAATGATACAAATTAACTTATTTACAAACAGGAATAGACTCACCGACTTAGAAAACAAACTTATGGTTACCAAAGGGGAAAGCTGTGGGGGAGGGATAAATTAGTAGGTTGGGGTTAACATATACACACTACTATATATACAATGATAATCAGCAAGGACCTACTGTATAGCACAGGGAACTCTACTCAATATTCTGTAACCACCTATATGGGAAAAGAATTTGAAAAAGAATAGATACATGTATACTTATAGCTAAATCACTTTGCTGCACACCTGAAACTAACACAACATTGTAAATCAAATATATTTCAATAGAAAAAAAAATACATCTTGAAAGAAACATCTTACGAAATACTCAGATGCACTCTGTAATTGTTACAGCACTTATTTTATAAATAGTTACAATATTCCTTTTTATTTTGTTTTACTAAATATGATAGGCTCTTGGAGGTGTCCCAGGAAGTCAGCCATTACTTCCCAGTGGAATGGACCCAACTCGACAACAAGGTGACTACTTTAAAGTAAAGTAAAAGTGAAATTAATGTGCAAAATCTCAAAGGAAATCCTGTATTTTTTAAGGAAGGTTTTATTTGTACAGATATTCCATAATTATATCAGTTGCATTTTTACAGGTAACGTGGCCAAGTAATTATCTTTTTAGCTAACTCTTAATTATGTGTGATAGTGAGGGCAGTGATAACATAAGGAACAGAATAATTAAATATCCAGAATCTGTATTTTAACTAGTAACTTCTAAAACCTCTTGTATAACTTCAAACAAGTGAGACTCAAAGTGATTGTATCACTTGTGATTTTCTCTGCCTTTTTCAGATAGAGAGGTTAGTCCACCAGAAAGATAAGCAGGAGGAAAGAGGATGCTATGCAATAAGTAACTTAACTTGGTAGTTTAACAAACCCAATAATCAGAGCTGTTTAGGTACCACAAATATGTATGGCTCTATTATACTATTCCAAGAGAAAAAAAAAGGAGAAATGGTGTGAGAGATGTAATTCAACACAGAATAGGAAGAACATTTCAATTTCAAGACATTAATGGAGAGTGTGGGTAGGTAGTGATAAGAGGTAGAAAACTGGCCATGGAAGCCAAGATGAGGTGATGTCAATAACTCAGTCCTTAGTAAATAAGATGTGACACCAGGCAGAGAGGAGGCTATAGCCTCCAGTTTAGCACTCATGCTCATTACATTGTTAATATCGTCATACTTTTTTTCTTTTTAGGACATCCAAATATGGGTGGGCCAATGCAGAGAATGACGCCTCCAAGAGGAATGGTGCCCTTAGGACCACAGGTAAATAAATAATCAGTGTAGGAAGCTAGAGGCTGAGTTTTTTGCCTTCATCTTATACAAACAAACTGTATTATTTGCTGGCTTCTAGTATATACATTAAAGACTTAATAATATGGTTGTTAGGCTCTTGAGGACATATCTATGACATGTCCAAATTGATGTAACAACAAACCATATTTTAACAGGTGCTACACATATGCCTTTGGTACATTGGAGAAAACACATTGTGTAAAACACATTGCATTATAGTAATTATTATTAAAAATGATAACTATTACCCTTTTGTTAGTTATATTGATGAAATATGAAAAATTATAGTAATTACTATAAAAGATAACTAATATAAGTTAAATAAAACCTAGCTGACTGAATTAAATAGAATAAGCAGCATAAAATATATTTCTAAATCTTTTAAAGAATGCCATTGACTATTATATACTACCATATTTCTTTACAGAATATGAAATCAATAGAGAACCATTTAGAAATAAACCTTAAAATGGGTCTTACTGAACACGCATAATACTATCAGTATACATTAGATGTTAGCCTACTTCTGTATCAAAATTTCCCAGAAGTATACACCAAGATCGAACCTATTCAGCCATTGATGACATTTTTAAGTATGCTGCTCCAGGATATCACTTATTTTAGCTAAAACATCCCTCTGTCTCTCTTGGGAAAACTGCATGGGGTAGAAACTAATTTTGTAATGTTATATTTCAAAGAAACTAATCCAGAATTCAGAATTTTAAATTTCTTCCTCAAAGGTCAGAGGTTAGTGTATCATAACACTGGTTAAAAGAATGAATTGATTTACTTTCTTTATCCTTTCCAAGAACAGACTTTATAAGTGATAGTTTTAGGAGCTTGTTTCATGTATCTGCTTTAAAAATGTTAAGTATTTTGTTGTGTACCCAAAGGAGTCAGATAATTAAGAATCTAACACCCATTGGTCTTAAGCTTTTTTCAGCTTAAGACCAATGTAGTGAAGAGGGATAGTAGTTATCTATTGGAATAATTGAATTCCTAGAAGAAATATATAAATTGATTCTCAGGTCAATGTGACTTAGACCAAGGAGTTACTGCCAACATGTAATAATATACAGTTGACCCTTGAATAACATGGGAGTTAGGGGCACCAAACCACTGCGCAGTCGAAAATCCATGTATAACTTTTGACTCCCTAAAACTTAACTAATAGCCTACTGTTAACTGGAAGCCTTACCGATAACATACGTAGTCAATTAACACATGTTTTATATATTGTATGTATTATATACTGTATTCTTATAATAAGGTAAGCTAGAGAAAAGAAACTGTTATTACAGAACTCATAAGAAAATACATTTACAGTACTGCACTATATTTTTCGATACCATAAGTTTATATCATCTGTTTATAAGATGAATCATCTGTCAGTATCTTCATCCATGTTGTCTTAAATGATACAAAACACTGTAGATATTACATATATTTCTAACACGGGACATCAAAAATGAAAAGATCATGTGAAAAAAATTCCTATTTATTTACAGGTATAACAATTCATGCATTGATAACAAAGAAGCAGCAATATGATAGCTTTATGGTAAACTAGCGTAATAATCAATGATTGCTTCATCGTAGCCTATCCTATACACTAATGAATGAATCATAACATTTTTAAGGCATACAGTATTACAGTCATATTCACAATACAGTATTGTAAACATTGTTACATTTTTTTAAACCACTTACATGTGATGATAGGCTGATACATAGTTTCTCCTGTTGGGGTTGATGGGGTTGGGGGGGAGAGCGGGAGAGAGAGAGAGAGAGGCACATACTGTATAGTAATGTAGTTCTTTGAAAGCAAAATTATAAAACAGTAAGAAAACACATTATTAATTTTATATTACATACCACTCCCCTTATGCTTATATAAGGATAGACTTATGTGTACATGTATTTTATGCGTTCATGACATACCTTTTTCTTAATTTTTCAGATATTTCTAGGCTATGTGGTTCATCTGCAAGTTTTTTCAAATTGTCACAAATCTACAAAAAATTTTCCAATAGTGTATTTATTGAAAAAAATCCATGTATAAGTGGACTGGAACAATTCAAACCTATGTTGTTCAAGGGTCAACTGTATATATAAACTGTATTGGGACATGAAGCACAAATTTTTCAGAGATACCATATTACATGATAAGAAAAAGTGTTATGTAAATATTTGTGGGATCCTCAAAGTCATAAAAAACCCATTTCTTTTATTTAGGCTCAGTTATTTTCTATGTATTTTCTTAAGATCTTATAAAACTCTAATTTAGATATTTAAATTATTTTTTCCTATTTCTACTCATGTTAAGGATGATGATTTTTATGACCAACCATCATTAATCTATTAATGGCAGTTAGAATTTATAAGATCTGTAGGATATTTCACTGAATGAATATACTTTTAGTCTTTAATGAGCTAAGCCAACCAGTTTAGCTATATACAACTTGAAGGATTTTTTTCCTCAAAAGATTTTCATAACAGATGCATTTTAAATATACATCAAAAGTTGATGCCTGTAATTTATTCTTCATTCAGTTCTCTTACTTTTCAGCTAGCTGCTCTTTGAGTTTTTGTCATTCCAGACCAATATTTTCAATACTTTTAAAAATTAGAGTCTGATTTGAGTCAGTTTTGCAGTGTTTGAAAGATGAACCAATGCTCACCTAAGCTGTATGAATACTTATATCTCATGTGAAAATGCAGAAGTAAAAAGCATATTGGTCTTCATATTTTATAAATATCTAGCCAAATATGTATGTGTTTTGTGTTATAAGTAAATTATGACAGAAAGTAAGAAAACATTTCTGGGAAGTAATCGCTTATTGAAGAGTTTAACTAAGTTTATCATATAAGTATGAATTCTTTTCATTTTCACACCCAGAGAGAGTAGTTTATTTCTTCCCTTTGGATTAATATCATTGCTATCTATTTCTTTATAATTTGGAGGAAGTAAAGTGTTTTGGTATGAATTTACCTCAGAAACCAAAAATACCTACAACAACTTTTAAAATCACAGTATATAAGTATAAAAGGTTAAAGGAAATTATTTATAAATATCATGTACTTAAATGAAAATAGGAATCATATTCATATAAATGGTACAATAGGTAAAAAGTGAAGTAAAATTATTTGAATTAAGGGATTCTTGTAAGGTATTTACTCATAACACCTGGTATATGTAACATATGGATTATAAACTGTGAGCTTTATAATAAAAGTTAGCTGTGTTTCTTAAAAGATAATAGAAAAACAACTCTCATGACAGATGTTTAATCCTATGGATGCTACTCAAGAACAGAATGTGTCTGCTTTTTTTGTATCCGAATTATAGAAACAGTCTCTTGAATATTGTTTCTAGCTTTACGCAAAACAAAATACATACGTCCTTTGTATCATAGATATTATTTCCACAATTTTTTCAGCTTAAGACCAATATGGTGAAGAGGGACAGTAGTTATCTATTGGGATAATTGAATTCCTAGAAGAAATATATATAATTTGATTCTCAGACGATGCTGATGTAGGCAAAGTGCACACCTAGAACATAGTAAGTATGTGATTAAAACCTACTGCATGGATGAAGAAATAAAACTTTGCTCCAAATCCTGGCATATTTTTTCCACCCCTTAATCTATTTTAAATCTGCGTTCAGTAGTAATACATGATTTTTAGATTGATATCAGTATCCTTTCAATAGAAAAGCAGAATCAAGAAAAATGTCTTCCCTAATGCCATAGTTGAAGTTAATTTTTCTACTTGGCTTTTATAATAAGGTATACTTAGTTTGTCTGTGTTCTTAGGCTCAGCAGGTACCATATGATTAACAGAAAAATTCAACAAGACTGTCCAACTAGTTCTAATTCCTCTAGAAATCTGAAGGATAAATGAGTTTTATACAAGTAGGAACATATCATGATTTCCAAATCAAATACTTGGGGTGGAGAAACAGTGAGATGGAAATATATGATAGGCTCTCATGTAAAGAGAGAGTAAACTAATTCTGTATTTTCAAATCTAAGATGGGAAGTGGAATTTAGCTCAGTATGGGGAAGAACTTGCTAGAAATTAAACTGCCCAATCATGGAAAAACTCTTTATAAACTTTCCAAGCAGAGTCTGAACAGCCCTTTTGTCAGGAGCATTGCATTGGGAGAGAGATTAAAGCAGATGGAATTGTATAGTTGCCATCAGCTTTAAAATTCAGTGATTCAAAATTAGCTCTTCACATTGTGCCTTTGTTACCAGTTAGAAAGCTAGTTGTTATTCTTTCTTATCTTCCTGTTCTCTATATGCTTCAGATTCTTCACAAAATGAAAATATTTTGTAAGTCTATCAAAATATGTGTTGGATAATTTCTTACTCATTTCCTGTGACACTTGTGCACTGTCATACTTGAGCACTGGATGCACAAAGATGAGTAATACAGACTCTACCTTCAGGTACTTATTCTTTAGCAGGAGATGCAGATACATAAAGAAAAACTATTAGGCAGTAGGAAAAAAGTCAAGAAAAGAAATACGTGTACTCTGTCAGGGAGTCACTATGTCACAAGCATGTTAGGGTTGAGGGCTCAAGGGAAAATGAGAAGACTCATTTAAGTCAGTCCCTTATTAACAGTGATAAGAGTTAACAGCTACAGTTTTTGAGCACCAGGTATCATGCTTTTAAGGCACCAAGCACTTTCATATGCATTTTGTATGATTTCATTTTTCCTCCAACAAGCTTATAAGAGAGATGATATTTTCACTTTACAGATAAGGAAATAAAGGTTGAGCAGATCATTGGGAGAATCATTGGCCCACAATCACACATGTAGAAAGAGGAGCCCAGGAAATAGGGCAGGGGCAAGAGAGATTCAAACCAGTATCTTTCCATGTCCAGAGCTAGAAGGAAAACTAACGTTTTCCTTGATAAAACACAGACCACCTAAGATCAAAAATGAGGAGCGACCTTTTGTGTGAAGAATTTCTATTATACTCTAGCATTCAGATTTCGTTCCCAGTGACTAACTTTCTTCTCAGAGACTCCTTGGTAATACTGCTGCTGCCACCCCCATGCTTGTTCCAGAGGTTAAGAGAAATAGCTATCTCTTTAACCAGTGACTCAAGTGTGGATAGACACCATTCTCTTATCCCATAGCATACACAACTGAGATGTTTAAATAAGATTTCTTGAAAGTAAAAGTAAATAAAAAATGAGAAGAGCATGTAATTAGGTAATTTATTTACAAACTGTGGCTTACTCTCTGGAGTTAACAGACCTTCTCTCATTGAATATTTCCTTGTCATCTTAGCACCTACTACACAGAAGGCCATAGCAGATGAGTTATCATGAGTGTAAAAGCATACTGCATGTTCCTGAACCACAAGAAATTCAGCATTCTGGAGGGTATAGTTGTGAGTAGGGGAAGAAGGTAAATATTATAGGAAATGGGGGCAGGAAATATAGGCTAGGGCTGATCTGTGAATAACACCATAGACCCATGCTGAAGTACAGACCTTATTTGATAGGCAGTGTGGGGCATCATGGCTTTTAAGTGACATAAATAGGACTGAGTTTAAGAAGCACGGTTCTGGAGGCAGTATAGAGAATAGATGGGGAAGGGGAGAGGCGAAGTCAGAGAGACCAACTAAGACAGTACAGTAGTCTCAGTAAATGACAGAGATGAGTGATGTGAAGGAGAGCAGTATTTCAAGAGCTATTTCACAGGTAGAATCAATAGACTTTGGTAACTTGACTGGATATGGAAATTGAAATAAAAGGAAGAAACATCAAGGAGCTCTCAGAGGTTCTTAGCCTGGACTGCTGCATAGAAGGTGACGCCACAGAACTGACTGAGAAAGGCAATATAAAGAACACAGCAGTGAGAAGATAAAATTAAGGTTACCTTTAGGTATGTTGAGTGTGAAATGGTATCCAGATAGAAACAGCTGATATGAAGTTCAACATATGAGTTATCTAAGAGCTTAGGAGAGACATCATGACAAAACAGATTTGAGATTCCTAACATATAAATAATTGTTGAACTAAGGGTAGCAGGTAAGAGTACCCATAAATGTGTATTTATTTAAAAGAATGCTGTGGCTAGAACTTGGGGAAAAGCAACATTTTTAAGAGCTAGTAAAACAAAAGGATCCAGCAAAGGAGATTGAAGAGTGGTCAGAAATGTTGGAGGAATAGGTGGTGTCAGAAAACCGAGCATGAAAGTAGTTGATGATGTCAAAATATATTAATATGATAATGTTAAAAGTAGTCTTTTGACCCTTGTGGAAACTAAACTAAGCTAAGCTGATATGCATGTTAAAACATTAAAATGTTTTTATCCTTTGAAGGCACATAATAGATATTGACAGAAGCCTGTTGAGTCATATAATTCACGCATACATATTTGAAGTATACTTTAGTGTTCATATATTTTTGTGTATCTGTATATTTGTACATTTCTCTCTTGGATATATTATTTTGTGAACAGAAGTTTGTATTCCACTTTCTTATGCTGGATTCACCTATTTGTTTTCAGACTTTATGTAATTTTTCTGAGTCAGACAATTTCAAACATGTTGACTAAGTCCTTTCTTTAAAAACAGAGTTTGGGATTTATGAAATGTTTTGTTTGAAAAAGTTCACTGTTGTACAGATATCAGGAAATTAATAAAGATATGTTGAATATTATAATTGCAACTATACCTTAATCACTTAACATGCTCCAATGACTGTACATATTCATGTAGTTTTTAAAAGACACAAACCAAAGTAATTGTTAAAATAGAAGCAAAAGTACAAGAGTGGACCCTTCTGAGAATGAATTGCACAGGCCTTATCCCATCAGGAGTTATGTAGGGAA